AAAAGTTTGCAAGCCTTTAGAAAAACAAAAAAATAAGCTTCAAACCTCTCACACTGTTTGAAAATAAAATTTTCGAAAATTATATATAATTGTGTACACTTTAAAGACGTACTCTAACTGCATACTAAATTCCAACTATCAATTGCTAACCGTTCATTACTATTATTATTGTTATCAACTTATCACGGTCACATTATAAGATTATTTAAACTGCTTTACTTCGATGTATTAAAAATGACAATGTTTTAACCGGTTAATAAGTTTTTGCATGTATTATATTTTTAGCAAACAGATATTTTATTTTTTTGCTACTTGTGCAGATAGAATTGTTTAAATATTGATTCTGCATGTAAAAATTATTAGATATCAATGTACTAAAAATTATTAGTATGAGAATTAATATCGTATAAATGAATAAATTCAAAGTTTGATATATTGTATTATAAATTATTGACTAAATAAATGAATACACGTGTATGTTTAAAAATTATATAAAAACCGTTTTTTAACAAAGTGAAAAGTCGAGCAAAATATATTTAATGTTTTCTAAAACATTTCAAGCAATACTTTATAAAGCTTATGCAAGTGTTTATGGTATAAGGTTGTTTTGTAATTCCAGCTTTTCATGTTCGAATGAATTATGATAGGTTTAAAACAACACAGTTCGAAAAACGACAAACACTGAATGAGTGTATTTGTCGTTTATCTGCATTTAAATATTTACTAGTAATTTTAAAAATTAAATAAATTATTTTTGACGAACAACAATTATCGTGTGAACAGTGATATTTTTAATATTTAATGAAAATTTTGCATAGTTATACAATGATGTTAAAACATGTAAAACAAGTTATAAAAATACACGTAATATATATATCGTTTTTTAATTTTAGAATAAAAAATATAAGAAAAATTGCGCTCATTTAACACATATAATTACAACGCATTTACAGATGCACACTTCGTAACGAAATATTACGTACGATTATGTTAATCAAAATTTGTAATTAGTAAATTACAGTTACAAATACAAAGCGTTATTAATTATCGTTGTTTGGTATTGCGCATTTTGAAATAATACAGTGTACTAATTTAAATGATCATAAATCACGTGTTTAAATGCAAGATTAAAATACTAGGATTAATGCAAACAAATTTATACACAATGAGATTTTTTGAAAGAAACATGTGCTGTGAAGTCTGTTCGAAAAATCTTAACTACGATTTATTCTCAGATGTCAGTTCTGTTTGAATGTTACAGTGCGACTATTTTAAAACTGATGATATTCGCAACGTATCTATCCGAAAAAAAATAACTGTAATAATGTGCAGCTATTGATAATAGATTTATTTTTGTACATCGGTATTAGATTTATCTACAAAGCCTAGTGTAATACAGTTGAAAATTTCGATTTAACGTTATGTATGTAACTTATTCAAAAATTAAAAAACAAAAAATATATATTGCTGTACAACTTTTCCGATACAAGTAGTAGTGGTTTGANTAACAATAATAAATAAAATACTAAAATAAATAATATTTATAAACTTACATAATTAGTTGAATATATTCCTTGAAATACCAAAGAATAATCAATTCAAAATTACGGTTTACTTGTCACTTATTTAAGGTAGTTTAGTTACACATACACGTATATGAAAAGTGAATTGATAGTTTGACAGTTGACACTAAAACAAATGAAATTAAAAAATTAAACACATTATTATCTAGTAAATCAAAACCATTACTCACATTTAAAACATACTTCCATACAAAATGTTATCTATTAATCTCTATTAATGATCTGAACGATGCCAATTTGAACGTGAATAAATCGTAGAATGCGGGTAGGATGACTCCTTCCTCTCTGCATGGAAGTCGTTCTACGGACTGTAAACCCACATCCCTCTCCTTGCGTCAACATCCCCACCCCTTCACACGTGTTCAGCAACCTCCGGTGTTTTTCTCAGCAGTTTGCTTGCCTGATTGTAAAGGTTGTCTCTTAAGTAACAGAGGTAAGGTTAAAAGTCACACAGCCTTGCAAATTACCCCCACCTGCGTTGTTTATTTGTAAACAGGAGGAAAAACAAAGAGAGCGTCGCTCGGTTTATTGGCCTCAAGGGGTAGTGAGGCGAACGACCGTTGTTCGGAAAGTAATTAATATTTTTATAATAAATAAATATTTTATTGAATTATATATTGACCATTTTGGTCAAATACTGTTGTTGCCGTTTCTGGTAGTAGCATGATTTCACATTCATAAAAGTTTTGATCGTTGCTTACAAAAAACTGATCTAAGTGATTTTTGACATTGTGATTTCAAGTAAATGTCTTACAGTTAAAAAAAATTTGTATAGACCGGAACAAGTAATAATCTGAGTGTGCTCAATCTGTCGAATATGGTTGGTGTGAAAACACGTCCATCTAAGTTATAAGTTTCTGACCAGTTACCAAACTTGTGTGAAATTTGACATTATCGTGGTAAAAGACTACACCTGTTTTGTCGATCAATTCTGGCCGCCTTTTCTGTTTGATGATATTACTCAATTTGTTTACTCGATGGCAGTACACTTTCGAATCAATTGTTAAATTGTCTAGTAAAACCTCCAAAAGACAAAAAAATTTCTTAAAATTTCACCAAAGAGAGCATCTTTCTTTAAGAACATGTGGAACCCATATATCAAGCTTTGAAACTAAACTAATTTGTTTCAAGTAATCATAAACGGTTCAATTTGACAAATTTAATCTCTTAGTGATTTCACGTGTTGTTATTCGGCAGTTTGCTTCAATCAGTACTTTTATTTTGTTTTCATTGGCTTTAATTGGCCATCTATAACGTGGTGCATCTTCAATACTGAAATTGCCAGAACGAAATTTTGTAAACCCGTTTTGGCACTGTCGTTCTGTCAACACATCTCCACCATACATGTCACACGATTTTTTTCTCGCTTGAACGGCATTTTTATTTATTTATTTTTTTGTAATAAAAAAGCAAAATATGCCGAAAATGCTGCTTTCGATCTTCCATATTTGATGGGACACAAAAAATAAACAATTGCACAAAATCAAACAAAACTTTTTTACAAATAAGCCTTAAAATGCTAGCTGTCAAAATATGTAATAATAATACAGTTTAGAATGAAAATGGCGGGAAAAGTACGACTAATCCGTCTAGTGGTAAAAAAAAACGAAATTACTTTCCGAACAACCTAATATTAAAGAGAAAAAGTAAGGAAAATGTAAACAAGAGCAGACGCGATTGTGAACTTGACTCGGCGGAGGACCGCAAACGTCTTGGTAAGCTTCAGATAGAAAGAAGAATTATGATTGGTCGGAAGTTTTCCGCCAAACAAGCCCTTAAATAACGGGACAACGGAGAGAGGCGCAGAACAGGGCAAGAAACTGGACATGGTAGTCTCCAACACTTGGACAGCCCGCAGAGCTTAGAGAGAGAGTCTCTCCTCTTAAAGAATCCTCTGGGACGGGTAGTGTAGAGAAGGGAAAGGACCATGCAGTTGAGTCGACTCCATCAGGCGACTAGGCCTCCCCAGAACGGAGTAATCCCGTAAGAGGATAACCTATTGTTTAATGTACTACGTGACATCATCTTGCATATACAATGTTGCTAACTCGTGTAATATATATTTTGACTTGTAAATAAACTGTAAATAGTGTATAATTTGAGTGTGGAGGTGTGCTTTTCTACGAACCAAGTCAAGAACTTTACTCGAGTCAGGTAACCGTAAGGATCTTCACTGACGCTGTAGTCAATGGGAGCAGCTTAGTAGATCTTCACTCTGACGATATCCGTTTAACACGAAGTGAACACATTCGCACTTCGTGTTTAATTTTCTCGCTGGTATCTTAGGTGTTTGTAGTGTTCATTTTTATATAATAATCATCAGTTCATATCAGTGTGCATGCTCACCTGCGCGGCACATAAATTTACGTGCGCGGCAACAATTTGAGCAGTGCGCGGCCGCGCAGCTTAGAGGGAACTTTGGTTAGAATTAATTACAGTAACGCGACACGCGAGCGATCTGTCGGGGAGATGCATCCCAGGAAGACTTTTATGGGAAGCTGAGACCTGTTTCGGTGGTTTACTAACGTGAAGAAAACCCGGAAAACTCCACATGGCCGGCCCGTTGGCTTTCCCCAAACCCACGATTAACTAATTACCAGAGTTCGGTAGTTTTATGCACTCGGCTACTGGAGGGTGCTTATTAGAATTAAGAAAGTACTGTTCAGAAATTAAAAAAACCCGAGTCGTTGGATGTGGAAAATTAAATACATAGACTTACTATACACTTTTTACAGGGTAACACTTTCTATTCCATTCAGGCAAGTGCTATACTCTACCTGTCTCAGTAAGCGCGAAATAGACCCGCTATATCATTGTCGAATCAGCAAATCGAATATAGATAAAAAAAATTAATTGATTTACGGAAATCCAGATATTTTGAGATGGGGTGTACCACATTATCTAAGTTAGAAGTAGGTAAACGTAACTGCCATCTTTCGTAGTAATTGATGGAACGGCTTTAGGAGTGTATAGCGAACAAATAAACATCCTCATTTATATATATAGATTTCCTCGTCGTCATGTAATTATTTTCATATACTGTACTGTATACACGAGATATAAGAAAGCTAGAATGGAGCAATCTAGCTCGAATGTATGTCTTAAAGTAAGCATCTCATGCAGTCTAACACACCAGATCTGGTGGCGGGTTTGCTTCTACCGACGAGTTGGTCGCGTAAAGTTTTCCGGATTTTCGCGTGCCTAATACGTAAACGGACCAATTTCTCGTAAAAAGTACCCCTTGATAGATCGCCCACGTGTTAGGGGGCTTTATCTCATAAAACCAAGTGTACATGTTTGTAGCGCGTGTTCTTTAGCACTCTTCAGAAAAGAGAAAATAGCTTTTATTTTTCTTTCTTTAATTTATTTTATAATTAAAACGAAGCACAATAAAACTGCTTTTTATACATTCTCACTTTATATCTTTATTTATCTATTTATAATTTAATGCCAGCATATAATTTACTATAAATAGAATAGATAAACACATCTTTTCAATTTTTTTTATATATACACAACTTCACATCTCGGATTTGTCTTATAGAATTTAAAATGCCAATTTTAAATACAATGAAACAATTAAGAAACGTTGCAACCGATCTTGTTGACGAAACATTTCTGCTTTCCGGAACTGATTGCATAATCAGGGAAGGAAGTCCTCCTCTTTTTATTGGACGAACATAGATTGTAGGGTATGTTGGCCTGTACCAATAGTTCTTTAAATACCTCGAATACGTTCACATTATTTTTGGCAGAAGATTCCAAGAAAGCATTCTCCCAATCCATTCTGATGACGGTTTCTGCCACCTCTCGTTTCACCACTCTTCCGTCTTCCAAATCGCACTTGTTGCCCACTACTAAAATGGGCACGTTACTCTTCCTTCTGTCCAAGATCTTTTCGCGTAGGGTTCGTACCTCTTCGAATGTGTCGCTGTCGTCGATGGAGTACACCAGTACGAAAGCATCCCCCGTGGATATGGCCAGATCTCTCATGGCAGGGAATTCGTAGCTTCCGCTCGTGTCCAGGATGTCCAGAACTAAACCGTAATTGCCCAGATTATATTCTTCTCTATACACGTCCTCTACTGTTGGTTTGTGTTCGGAATTAAATTCGTCGTATAGAAATCTCTTTACTATAGACGTCTTTCCTACCTTAGCAGCCCCCATGATTACCAATCTGTACTGGCCCCTGATTTGCTGTTGGGTCCAAGCGTCCGCTGCCACCGGTTCCACTGTCGTAATTGAATATCCTGAACTGGGCATTTCCTTAGTTGTTGTGAGCCTTAGAAGAAAACTCTGTTCTCATCTGCTGACGAATCTGCAACGGGTGAAAAGTTAGTTTAGGTGGGTATTTCTAAAATTATTAATAAATGGTCAAAGACGGGTGGGCAAGCAGTTTATATATATGCGGATCTTCTCCACTGTAACGCGAGAGAAACAATCAAGCGCACAAATTCTATAACACGCGTGGCCCAATTTACCAGACTATCAATAAAAATACGGGTTAATGATTACAAATTACCATTTCCCATGGATGTTCGTGATATGTTAATAGGGCGCGCACGCAACAATCGGGAGCAAAGTTATAACAACAATCTCGTCTAACAATCGGAAAACACGGGTATAAGTTAATGTTAATTAAAATTGTGATTTAATAAACTTAAAAATAGAGATAGAGTATTAGAAAGTTTTCAATATCTAGAATTAACAGAAGAGTTATTGATTAATGTGCGAGGTACTCTTTGATTCTACATTAAAATTATTCAGAAAAATAAATAAATCTTCTCTTTTTGTGCAAGAGAGGGACTTAACAAGTAAAATTCTAGAAGCGTATAGATAGTTTAAGTGTTGAACAATTATTATTTATAGCAGAAGGGAAAGTTCTTACACTAGCAATATAAACAGAGCAGACTTACCAGACAATTGTGAGTCCCCGAGATAGATTCGGAGCAGTCGAGCGTTTTCCTGTATATAAGCTGAAATGTCACGTGCTGCAGCGCGCGCATATTATTTGTTATCGTGTTACACCGCTCACGTGGACTTTCGAGACCAGATGACAGTCCCAGTATTCGTTAGGTAACGTAAGAGAAGCGATCTATTTCTGCTCGAATATACTTACGAAATTCGAACCGAACTGTGAAAATTTTAAGAATTTCGACCCCCCTCTGCTCACCTGTCTATAGAAATAGATTTTTACTTCCCACATTTTTATTAGCTAAGTCGTTAGACAAAGAAACTCGATGTTATCTTTAGTAACGCGTGCTGTTGCAGTTAATTGTTTATCTGTGTTGTTTTTCTTATATTTATAGAAATGTAGTTAGGGCACGGGGAATTATTTTGTGCATTGTCACTTCATATTTTCTATAACTTCGGCACTGTAAAGTTTAAGATATATCCTACAGAAGAGATAACAAGGGAAGATACTCCATGTACAAAAATATAGTAACTACTTCCTTACAGTTACCCTAATTTACGTAGGGATTTTCTCAATGCAAAATATAGTTTAAGGTAAATAAACAAGATAGTGTTGGGTAAGTATAAAACGTGGTATAGGTAAAAGTTCAGATAATATTGGGCAAATGCACAAGATAATGCTTATACAAAATAGTATTGGATAAATATTCAAGTTAATGTCTGCTAAATTTGTAAGTTAGCATCAGGTAAGTATATAAGATATTATCTTTTATATATAGGCCTAATATTTTCTAACGATTTTCAAATAATAACGAAGAATATATAAACTGCATATCTATTATACAGTATAAATACATTAAAATACGACGAACACAATTTGTACAGTATACAGACATTCGAACCTATAGTCTTTTTTTTGCCGAAAAAGTATCCTTATTTCTACTAATTTAAACTTTTATTTCTGCGTTTTAATGAAATTATAGCATTTAATTATCCGTAAAAAATTCTTACAACAGTAAAAACACAGCGATGTGGAAACAATATTATTGTTACTATAGGAGTAAATCCTTTCTGAGTTAATGCAGATGCTCATCGAATGTTAATAAACCCGGAAAGTGTGGATTTCTTAAGAACCCCGGGCAGAGGGAGACCTTGAAGGTTAGTGGATTTGTATCGATCGAGAAAACACCCGTCCACGTGACGCAGATTTCACGTGAGGATAACAGAAAAGAAAGGATTTTCTCTAACAAAACAGTAATACCCCGCTGCGCTTTATCTTCCCACGGACGACCTTTCCAATTCTCATTCATGTTTATCCATCAAGGACGTTTCTCTCGTCTGAAAGTAACTAACAAATAAAAAAAAAACAAATACTCCATTTTACATTCTGTCTTAATTACGCTTCCGGAGATTTCCCTAATTTCTTAAAAATTCCCTATCCGATTTAACAACAAGTAAATTTGACGGGGGATTTCATGCAGTTACGCGTATTCTGTTACGAAACGTAGCTTGTACCGTGCCTTTTATCATCGAGATTTTCATAAAAGTTGATTTTTTTTTTACAGAGCAACCTTTAGTTTTTTGTAGAAGAATTCAATTTTCTGTAATAGTAAAACAAGAAAATTCTACAATTTTGAATTTTCTAGACCTTACAAAGTAATTTAATTGCTCTTGATTAATTTTGTAATTACAAATGTATTTTGTGTTACCAAACATAAACAATTTCTATATTTATTATATTCTTTCTAATCTTTTGTTGTTAATATGACGTCTTCGTCGCCTTTATTTTTTATTTGTAGGGTAATAATAGTTTTTTCACATCATATAAGAGTCTAAAAATACAATAACCGATATATGTAATAAAATTAAATTGTAGTTTGTTTGTCTGCAACTCACTATATAACGTCTGGATGCTAAAAAAAGACTACAGGTATATTTAGTACGGGGGCTACGGATGAGTTTTACTCGTTAATAATTGATTAGCTTAATTATTTATGAGTTATAAGAGGAACGACAATGTATAATTGTTCTAGATATAATTACAGAATAGGCACGTCACCGTTTAAAAATCTATATTAATTAATAATTTAATTGTAATTATAATGAGTTATATGGTATACCTGAAGATCTTTTAAAGGGTCATTAAAGAATACCCGTTTCTTTAATGGCCCTTTAAAAGAATCTCAACATGACTTTAAAGCCGGCGCACTTGTCGGTATACCTGAACGTGTGGATGAAAAAAGAACTGCTAGTACTACCATCCACACGTTGAGGTATACCGGTTCTTGTATACCTAATTACTTTATCCATTAATTAATTATATTATAAAATCCTCATTGTTTCTGATTTCTGACAAACCCGGGCCAAAGTTTGACAAGTCCTGCACAGTACCAACAAATACTTAATAGTCATTAGGTTACAAACAAGTAACTTAATGACCTTTAAGTTAGTGGTAGAAGCCTGCCACTAACTTGAAAGGTAAAAGGTGATAAAATTCCTTACTCGAATACTTTTAATGTTCATAAACACGTCCTTAATCTCTAAAATGAAATTATAAATAGATTTCAAAAGAGATTTATTATTTACCTTTGTAGTAAACAAACACATTAATAACTTCGAAGCGATTTTAATTACTTTTCTGGAAAAAAAGAAAATGTAAACGTAGATTGATTTTAAAAAATAACTCATTAACAGTTATTTAAAAGAAACGAACAATTATTTATTGTGATATGCCGGGCTATAATTTTTAATTTAATTAATTTAAAATATATGCTCTCGATCGCAAATTAGTAGTGTTTTCCCATGTACAGTACATTATACTTTTCCTTTAACAAATAGAGTCGTGCCGGTCATCTATCTAACTCCGTTCTCGAGATTAGGGAAGGACAGACAACCGGATGGACGATAGTAAACATTTATAGGTCTAGAATCTTTTTCGAATTGCAGCCCGATTATTTGTTAGAAGTAAATACAAGTCGATCCCCCTTATAACACTATTGATTATTTCATTTTATATGAATTCCATGTTGTACGAGTCACTTAGATTTTACAAACACGTGAGCCGTTCACAGCCCGGCACACGTATTTGTAAAATCTAAGTGACTCGTACAACATGGAATTCATATAAAACGGAATAATCAACAGTGTTATAGGGGGTCGACTGTACATAAATAAACGGTGGCAAAAACATGTTTACAAAATTTTACTTCATTATAAATTAACGAGGTTTTATTGTTTTGTAAATTACTAAATTGTTTCGTTAAAATTCACGATGGAAATTGTTTTTATGTTTTTTAAGCTTTTATGTTTAATTAATGACTTCGATTGTTAAATGTAAACGAAGGGAATTGCCTTTCGAAATTCTCCGGTGGATAATTTGTCCCCAACCCAGCAAAATGTTACGTTTTAGGCACAAGAATTTCGAATTTTTCTAATAAAAATAAAATATTTAGTTTTTATTTGTTACATTTAACGAATCCGGGATGATCGTTATAACGAAAATCATTGTTTCGTGGAGTTTGCCGGGTTCTTTTCACGTGTCTAACACTTAAATAGAGGAGAGTTCCCGTAGAAATTCGTGTGTAAATGTAAAAAAATGGCAACAATTAGTAATACTTTGCAAATTTTTTCAGTTTTTCTACGAAATTTCTACACAATTAATCGGTAAATTATTATTAGCCTACATGTCTGTAGCTCATTCGACATATTTGTCCTTTATCCTGTCATAAAATTACGGTAATAATTTATGTACACGCTGATACCGTACGTGAATAATACATGGTAATAAAAGAGGACTAATAACGCCCACGGAGTGACATTACCAATCTCCTCATGCAATCTCGACGGTACAAGAAACTTGTACAAATGTAAATTTTATACGTAATTTAGTGCCGAGCCCGATAATTTTATCGTAATGTTGTATAACGTATTGTGCCCGGGCTTTATCATAAGGCACCCAGCAGAGCTATTTGGAGCCTCCAGAAAAGTAATTGTCCCGGACCTTTCTAGTGGTATATTAATATACCCGGATTTTTTTTTTTCATTTTTGGTTCCTTTTATTCTAAGGTACTAAGAGGGGCTTTTTGTGGCCGGTCGTTGGTTCGGTCAGGCTCACAATTAGGGTGGTGAGTGGCCCAGTATATCCTGGACGGACTACCCATGAAAAATTCCAGATTCGAACCCTGATTTCCCCAAATGTATTTGTAAATACATACAAATATAACTAACCTGCGTTATACCTGTATATTTTAATCTTAATCTCACTAATATACCTAGCTTAAAGCCTGATTAATTATTTAAAAACAAAAAATAAAAAGATCGTTACGATGGCCTATCCCAAATAGAGTGGATAAAACCATTGAACGTTAGTTGGTGGCGGGTTCGCGCGTGATCGACGGGCACGTGACCAGCAGGTCGGCCGCGTGGTGTTCTCCGTATTTTCTTCGCGTGTCTAACACCTAAATAGGGGTCAGTTTCCCCATAGAAAAAGCTCTTCCCAGGTGGTATCCATCCCTTCTTGGCATATCGCCTACGTAGCGTTTTGCCATCCGTTCTGTCAATATCCTCGATTTTAGATGATTTAGATCTGGGTGTGAATATTTATACATTTTTACTAGAAAATAATTAATTAAATATAATTGTAAACAAGTCATTACATGATCTACATAAAAGTTCGTATTTTATTCACGATTATTGTACCGTATACGAAATGAGGCACGCGTATAAATAACCTTTACGTGTTTATTTGTGTTAAATATTTTTGCCGATGAATAAATGCTAAATTTTTAATAATGTTGTAAGTATTGTTTGCTATAGAATAGGGTGGTCCAAAAGTCGATTAACCGTTTTAAGCTGTTCTAACACGGCGTTACGAATTTACGTCTTTTAGTTGTTAACTGACTTACGAGCCATCCCGTATAGGGTATCTATATAAAGATGTTTTTTTAGTTACAGTTAACCGGTGACACACGTGAAAGCAGCCGGCACGTGTTCGAAGTTTTTATATCGATTTTTAAAGAGAACTCGTATATAATGCACGCCGCTACAGATGAGTATGGAAGAAAATACGGCTAGATTAGGAGATGGATATAAATCGTAACGAGGGGTAGGGAATTCCCCTAAAAGTGTTAACAATATATTATTCGGAAGCAAAAATTACGCTTCTAATACAGTGCAGATATCCCTCCACAGCATATATGGGGCGTCGTACGCGGGGATTATTTGCTCCTCGCAAATAGTAAAATGAGGAGGAACAAATGCTGCCGAGAGGTCAAAGTTCCAGGATCTTCACCTCTAAAAAGATGGACGTGGCAAAGGCGTATAAAAAATTAATCCAGGTGCAGATCCACCAAAGATTGCCTCGGTAATTGTGTATTGATTTATGAATGCAACACGGGTCAACATCCGACGTTAAGAATCGTAATTAAAATGTATTTAGAAGTGTATAAACGAGTCGTGCTTCAGAAGGAAACGATAAACAAGGTAATCTCCTGTCAAAGAATAAAGTGATTGAAGGAAATACTTTAAGAATAGAAAATAAAATATAAGTGTTAATTAATTCCTCCGTGTTAATTCGACGACAATTTTATTTTTATCCTCGTCCTCTTTATCCCGGGATGACAAACGTACAATATTTTTCTATATTTAAAGATAATAAATATATGTTTTTCTTAGCATAAGGTTGCCGTTGAGAACAAATCACACAAGAACACTTTTTAGTGGAAAAAGGTCTGTTTTCAACGGCAACCTTATGCTAAGAAAATACATATAATAAAGAGAACAGCAAGCAATCAAGATCTATAATACTGTATTATAATTTGCCTTACTGTCCTTATTTAATTTCTTATTATATGTTTGTCAACGCGGACATTAATTATTAGCAAGACAATTATACAGTACTGGTGTTAAGATTTTTTCACAAGAATTTAGGAAAAAGTTCTTAAAGAAAACAGACTTTCTTTATCAAGCTACCTATACACATACAATGGTTAACATCTGTGTTTCAGACTATAATGCCCCTCAAATTATAATAATACAATATTATTTAATAATTCAGCAGCCGATATTCTGGTGAGTGAGAATACGCAAGGTGAGGAACTGTCAAAAGAAATAGGAAGAATCAAGACAGAGTGTCTAGTACCTGAAAACTTGTAAAAAAGAACAAATAAGACTACCAACATTAAGCTTACTTGTGAGTATAAGTAAAAATCTACAAAAATATGATGTAAAGAAGATAAATAATCTAATTCTGTCATCTAATATTAAGTTTAAAAACTACAAATTAAAGAAACTACTAAAGAAAAAGAAGAAAGAAAACATAGAAATAAAACACATAGGTAAGTGTTTCAAAGATAAGTATAAGAAACTAACCAGATAGAGAGGAATGGAGAAATAATTAATCTAAATATATAAAATTGCTTGTCCTGACTGACTGAATGACTAACTGATTCATCATCGCCCAGAGCAAACCGCTGAACCTAAAGAGGTGAAATTTGGAACACAGTTAGGGTCATGAAAACGCACACTAAGAAGGGATTTTTCGAAATTCCCTCGCGGGGGGAGAGAGGGAGAGCATTAAGGCTTAACCGGAAAAACGGCTTCTACTGTACTATTTTAGATGCGATTTTTTGTTATGTTTAGTCTTCATTAAGTACTTAAGTGTATTAAATTAATAACATTTCAGACATTGTTATAAATATTTTTATATATTTCGATTTTTTAACCAAATGTTCGAACCTTTTTAAATTCGAATTTGTTATTGCATATTAGTTCGATTATAGAACGATTGTAAACGTTCCAGAAAATTGATCAAATTGAAAATAGTT